TTTTTATTAATTAATTAAATTAATATTTATATTTATATTTTTATATAAATTAATTAAAAAATAATTATTACATCCATAATATGTTTGTTTAAAGGGCAGGCACACATGTTAAAAAAATTAGTTATTTTTTTATTTCCTTTCTTCTTTTTTTAGAAAAGCTGTTGGCATTCAGCTGCATTCTTTTGATTATTCAACGTTCCTTGGCTTGCATATTGACCTTAATTGGTATGGCCCCCTCCCCGATGGGTTGTCGCCTATATATGATGATATTAATGACGATAATATTATAAATAAAACCCATTTTGGACCTCCACAAACTGCTGACCAATTACTATTAAAAGTTTGTATTATTGATGTTAATTTATTAATGGACTCCACTCACCCCAAATAATTGCAACCTTATTCTAAACACAATATTAGACTAGCTAGTTCTACTCTTTCCAGGTTACCACTTACCACTTGCTACCAAGGAGAAATTAAAGCAAACACATGCAAGATGGTAGGGCAACTAAGTGTAGACTAAACACATATGTCTCATGATTAATTTCGAGCAAACCAATTTCCATGATCGAGAACCCTTTGGTACTCCTAGTGGAGAATGGTGAGGGAATGGAGATGTTGAAGTTAGTCATGACAGTAAGGCCATAGACCTTCATTCTTGACAGTGGCACTCGTGTTAATTTTAGTTAGTTGTAGTTAGTAGTTTGTTTTTAATGTGATGGGCAACTAACTTGCTTCTGTTTATAGTAGTTTCCCTTTATTTTTAGTAGTTTTCTTTATTTTCATGTAAAAGATAGAATTATTAACAAAAACCGTATGTGCTCTCTGCTCTTCTTTTCTATTTTCCTCTCTCTTCTCCATGAAAGTTTACCGGAGAGAAGCCACGGAGGATGGAGGTGGTATTGGTGGCATGATCAGTGGTGTTTATCTCTGGTTATTTGGGCAGCTTTGCTCAGTTTCTGTAAAATCTCAGCCACGATTTTCTCTTCTGCTGGCTGTGGTGGCGCAGAATGTGGTGCTGCCTGTGGATGATAATTCCTATTCAGTTAACTTGTTTTCTCAAATAAATTTCAATATGCATGTCAAATTCCTTATTTATACCTCATATATTATTTTAAAAATAAAAATTACGATGCAATGATCCTGAAAATAATGTCGTATTAGATCATCAATAGATCATCGTGTGTGTCAATGAGAAAGTCATGTAAAACTCAAAAAAAGAAAAAAATCTATATTTTTATATTTAAAAAAAAATTACTTGGGGCTCAAACCTCAAAGGTTAGAATTGAATTCGATTATAATAAATTAATTAAAAGGATCCAAAGACTTTTTCTGTGATGTCGAAAGAAAAGGGCTGGTGAGTAAGCCGGCCACCTCACTTTCTTAAATTTTCATCATTTGAAAGAATTTAAACACTGAAAGCCAATAAACAAATATATATGGCTTTGGTTAATTAAGCAGCATGTCACGCATGTTATTTTCCATTTCCGAAATTACTGTACATCATTTTCAAAGTTCACAAAAAGAAAATCTGGAACCTGCAGATCGTGTACAAGTGGCCATTGTCATACGTTCAAAATTTTAAGGTTATATAATTTTTTTTATAAATAATTATTAATTATAATATTTAAAAATATTAATATTTAAATTTATTTTTATTTATTAAATAATAAATATTAATTATTTTATAATTTTTAATTAATTAAAAATTATAATTATCAATTATTATTAATAATTAAATTAAGTATAATCAATTTATTTTAAAAGTCAAAATTTAAAATTTTGTGTCACCATAATAATTCAAGGGGTGGACCGCATAATAATTGTCATTACACTGTGGTCCAAAAATGTAGTCTAAATCATTTATATGAACATAAGGAAAAGAAAAATCTAATATCAACAAAAGAAAAAGGCAAAATGAGAAAAAGGAATTTTCGTTCCCCACGTGATGGGGGTTTAGATTAGACCTCTAACCTCCCCCTCCCTCAATCTAGCTGAAAAATCCATTTTTTTAATTAATTAATTTTTTTTTATATTGAACGATGAGGTATAATAAAAAAAATATATATATTTTATTTATATCACTTTCAATTGATTTTAAATTTAAATTTTAAAATTTTAGATTAAAAAATTTAAAATTTTAACAACTAACACATTCTCTCGAGAACAAAAAGGTAAGGAGCAAGGTAATAAACAATTAAAGTTAAACAAGGAGTATATAACATGATCACCGTCACATATATAGTTTTGACCGAATTAAGCATGCACCGATCGAACCAGTTTTATATATATAGCTAATAAACTTTCACCAAGTTAAACATAGCAAAAAGTCAACATGTATGTGGTTGTGGATGGAGATGTTTATCTGATTAAAAAAGAAATGCTAGGTGCAATATTGGGTTACGTTACCTAACGCACCAACCCTCTCTTCAAGAACTCCCAAACAATTATTTATTTTTTTTCTTTTTTTCATTTCTCCTGATGTCTCCCCTCTTCTGTCCTCTACATATATATATTGCGAAAGCTCAATCTAAACCTCACCAAAATTTAAAGTACAAAGCATAGAACTAATATTCCTTTTGTTTCTAAGGTCGATCGCTTTTGTTTCCTTTTCTTCAAAACAACACACAAACAAATTAACCATGCCAAAGAGCAAGGTTCTTGTTGTTGGAGGAACTGGGTATATTGGTCGGAGGATCGTGAAGGCAAGCTTAGCGCAGGGGCATGAGACCTATGTCCTCCAGCGGAAAGAGATTGGACTGGACATTGACAAGCTGCAGATGCTGCTGTCATTCAAGAAGGAAGGAGCTCATCTCGTCGAGGGCTCCTTCAATGATCATAAGAGCTTGGTGGAGGCGGTCCGGAAGGTGGACGTGGTCATCTGCACCATGTCCGGGGTCCATTTCCGAAGCCACAACATCCTCTTGCAGCTCAAGCTCGTTGAGGCTATCAAAGAAGCAGGAAATGTTAAGGTATTCGATATCGTCTTCTAATTTATCAGATTAATATATTCTTTCTTTCTTTATACTTAATGTAACAGTCATAAAAAAATAAATCTTCTAATTAATATTAATCTAAATCTAATTTTGTACGAAACATATACACTTATTTTGAAGAGTGCAGATAAATACTAAACTGAGTCATCATTGGCAAATTTTAAATATGTTATTATTCAAGAAGGCAACTTGAAACACTTAAATTTAATAAGTAAGATAATTAAATTGAAACAAATAGACTACAAGAAAAATGTGTAGATGTAAATATAAATTTTGTTTTTTTTTTAAAAAAGCACACAACCAGGGGCGGAGGCAGAAATTTTCTTAGGGGGGTAAGATTCTAAAATTTTCAAAGTTTAGGGGGGGTTAGATAATTTTTCATATACTAATTATATACTGATTTACAAGATTTTCAAATTTCAGGGTGCGAGCGCCTCCCCTCCCACCCCTAGCTCCGCTACTGCACACAACTATTTTGAGTTTTTAAATTGTGCCATAAATTAATATTTTTATTTAAAAATATGAAAATTTTCTATTTAAAGAAAAGAAAAAAGGCAAATTTTGTATCCTTAAATAAAAAATATATAAATTTGTCATATGATTTAAAATTTTAAAAATTTAAAATTTTAAAAATTTTATATTTTTAAATAAAAAAATTGACAAAATTGACATATTTACATGTACTTTTTTGGACTTCTAAAGAACAATTCAAGAATTGAATTAACAATACGGTCCGAAAATAAATTAATGGGGTCATGTAAGTACTTTGCCGGAAATATTCTGATAGTAAGTAATCATCAATCACGGTAAGGCCAAACTACTATCAATGGTCCCTTCTGATTTGGGAAAAGGCCTAAAGAGCTGTTTGCCCCTTATGATATGAGTTTATTTGTAGATCCGTCCCTGTAGTTTTTCATGGTAAATCGCCCCCCCATATAGTTTTAGAATTGGATAACAGTATAACACTAAAATAAACACTAATTTTAATACCTACACCACATAGATGATTTTAATTGACTAATAGATAAATTTAAAATCAATTTTTATTTTTTATAGAAATAAATTATAAAAAATTATAATTATAATACATCTTTAATTAAGATACAAATTAAAAAACTCTTATATCAAAATAGGTAATAATTGCCGAAAAAAAAAAAGAAGAAAAAATTCTGAGACATCTATTATCTTTTCTTTGTGGCCAATCTCAGCAATCTATTGTAAAGGAGGGGAAGAAGTAAATTTTAACTGCTCCACCAACCTTGATATGGTTGGGGAAAACTGCTGTTGCATGCATGTGCAACAAACATTAAAAATAATTGATCGATCAAGACCTATTTTTTTTTCCTCATAAAGAAATGAATTAATCACGAAGTCAAATATTAGCACTCATTGCCGATGATACTAATGAGAGGTTAATTGGTGGAACGATCATTCACAAGGGCTGTGTATGGTTTCTAATGCCTTGAATTAATTAGGGAATTAAGTTGATGATTTGAAAGTTGCTTGGCTATTTGTAGATTAATTTCATACTGTTTGGTGATGTGTTGATTGAAGGGTTTAAATTTCTTACTTTTCTAAGAAGTTTATTTTCTATTACGTTTTGCAAAACATTGAATCCAGGGATTTAGTTGCTAAACCTTTTTAAATTGATTAGTCAACTGGGAACAAAGTCTGGGGTCAGCCAGGGCAGTAAATAGGGAACAACTTTAATTTTCCGCATTCTTTTGCTGGACAAGATAAGTAGGTAACCGAATGAAGCCTAAGCAATGAAAAGTCAGAGAAACTATAAACGCTACTACCGGGGAAACCCAAAAATTAAAATATACTACATTGCTTAGGCTTTGTTTGGTTACCTACTTAAACAATTAAAGATAAATATATTTACCTTTGTATTATTGGCATTGCTGATGGAACATAGTCTTTTTTTCTTTTTTTTTTTTGTGGAAAAAAATGCAGCGTTTCTTGCCTTCAGAATTTGGTATGGATCCTGCTAGGATGGCACATGCACTTGAACCAGGAAGAGTAACATTTGATGAAAAAATGGTAATCAGAAAAGCAATAGAAGCTGCCAACATACCCTTCACTTACGTTGTCGCCAACTGCTTTGCTGGTTATTTTGCCGGCAATCTCTCCCAGATGGAATGTCTCACCCCTCCAAGGAACAAGGTCATTCTTTACGGCGACGGAAACGTCAAAGGTACATATACAAAATTATGCCGACAACTTTGACAAGTATTAATTAATTTATTATTTATGAAATTATATATATATATTTATTACATATTTTGGTGTCCGAACCGCAGTGGCTTTCATGGATGAAGATGATGTTGCAACATATGCCATTAAGACAATAGATGATCCTCGAACGTTGAACAAAACGTTGTACCTTAGGCCTCCAGGAAACATCCTCACCCAAAGAGAGTTGGTGGCGAAATGGGAGAAGATATCGGGGAAGCAACTGGAGAAGATCAGCGTTTCTGATAGAGACCTCCTGGCCTCCTTGAAAGGTAATTAAAATTATTGAATGGTACTAGTTCCGTACAATAGGCCACAAGGAACTACTTACCCGAACAACAACCAAACCTTAATTAATAATAAAGTTTTAATTTAAATAAAACAAACCTTATATATTTTACCATGGATTTACCTAACATGTGCACCAATGGCACATATTAAGAGTTTTGAAAAATTAAAAAATAACATTTAATTTACCAATTATCTAATTAAATTTATACACGTAACCTTGATTCTAAAATTAATATCTAATTTTAAAATTTCTTATGCAAATTTATTACAAAAAATACATTTAACCTGTGTGCTCTAGAAAAGTCTTTTTACAATTTAGGCTAAACTAAACTATAAAATGTCAATTCAAATTATATTAGACTATAAAATAAATATTATTAAATAAAATAAAGACCCCAATATCAAGAGTCCCAACCCCATCCAATAGTTTACACTGCATTATACCTTTTTTGTTAAATAACTTAGTTTGGCACTAATTGTTTTGTTTGTGGTGTGGCCAGTTATGGACTTTGCAGGACAGGTAGGGTTGGGACATTTCTACCATATCTTTTATGAAGGATGCTTGACGAATTTTGAAATAGGAGAAGGAGCAGAAGAAGCCTCTAAACTCTACCCGGAGGTGCGTTACACCCGCATGGAAGAATACTTGAAAATTTATGCATAAGCACTTCCTTTTCAGCTATAGTTTGCGGTTGAGATCGGTTGATTTACACATTGATCATGTTTTAGTGTTCCCTTTAATTTCATGGCTTTTGAGTGTGATGTTTCCTCGTTTGCGGTTGAGATCCATATTTTGGTGTTTGATTTAATTTCATGGCTTTGGAATGTACAATAATGAATAATGTTTCTTTTTTTAATAGCAATTCTTTCGCTCGTTCCAAACTGCATGCCACTGCCTGTAAAACCACCAGTGTGGTTGTTACTAGTCTCTAAGATCTTGGTTGTTCTCTTGTTCTGTTCATCTATAGACTTGACAAAAGAACCGCTTTTGTATCAAACTAGACAACCTTGGAAACCTTTTCTAAGAGCAGTCTCATCCAGATTTCTTCCTATGAATACAAGCTTGTTTGTTCTCTTTTCATTGGGTTCCCATGTTTTTCCCGGGCAGCCATCCAATATTGATTGCACTCCCTAAAAGAAACAACACCACAGAAAGGGAATGTTTTAGTAATGGAATGTAATTTCTGACATCAAGAGTCAAGACCAACCACAAGGGTTATGTTCGATGATGATGAGAGTAAGGAAAAATAGGAACCTGAAAAACATATCGCTGATCAGAACCATTTATGGACAGAACTCCCTTCATTCTGTATAAATCTTCCCCTTTCTCTTCAATTAATCTTTCAAGCCAATCATCAACCTGATCCGTCCACATTAATTAAGGCCAGTTAAAAAATGGGGGAAAGAACCGTACATATAATTCTGCAGAAAGGAGACAGACATGCACAAGTACTATTTCAATTGATACCCTTATATTATTGCACAAACATTAATGTGTTGGTCCATCTTCTGTCGTCAAATGGGACTAAACTAGGGAACTCAATAGCCCCTTTTCCTACTTCATAACCCCAAATATATAACAAGCTTTATAGTTAGCACATAAGCAATTTAGCAGCTATGTGAGTAACAACCAAGTTTTATGAGACGATTATTACCTCATCTAGATCAAGGGTTCCCTCCGAAACAATGCTAACACTAGAAACAGCAGAATCATGCACATGGTCATGATGATGCTCTCTGTGCCCTGTAGCTTCCAAACAAAATGACAAGAAATGGATTAAATTTTCAGATCATAATAGGAGTTCCAAACTATTCTAGAGAAAATCACATAATATAACTATAAATTGGACAATTAGCTCTAGAAAGGGGAAAAGCACTCGTATTGATGACAAACAAGAAATTTGAATTTGACACTAATATCAAACATTTTGATAGTTGATCAGAAGACATTAGATTTAGATGATCCTATTAGCAAGAAGGTTCCTTTGGAGAAAAACAACGTAGGAAATAACAAGAACATCAAAGAAATACAAATAAGCGGAAACATTACCATGTTCTCCATGTGTTGCAAAGTGGCAATCATCTACATGAACTTCGGAATCAATTCTGTGCAAGGCATTTCAAGTTTAGCAAATACGTCTGGATCAATATGAATATGAACTGTAAAACAATTTGCACTAACAGGAGAAAAATATTCTAGAAGGCAGAAGTTGAAATTTATCCTTAGAAACAAAGGAAAAGTCTAAGCAGTCTAATGCCAGTAAAAAGGACTGATATATGACCATCTGACCTTTCGAGATCGTATCCTCCAACTCCGAGAACAAAGTCAACATCAACGTCTCCAAATTTTGCTCTCTTGATTTGTGCCATCCCATTAATATGCTAGAAAGATTACAACAAATAGATAAATTCAATGCTACTATTCTAGGATAAAATAGATGCTGAAACCTCCATCATAGAAAGATGAACAGTAAAGTAGAAGATGGAGCAAACTGCAATGTTTAGCATAAAAGAAAAAGAAACACAGCAAAATTAAAAGTATAGTAGAAAACCGTACCTTGATTCTGTCAGTTAATTTCTCTAATTCAGCCTCTGTTACCAAATCTATCTGTCATTGCAATTGATACAAAATCATAAACTTAAAAGAGTAGTCCATATCCTTGGCTGCTAACTTGAATATGATTAGGCTAAAGGAATCTAGAGATGAAGAGAAAAATTGAGGCCATAGAAACGTGAAGGTAAGTAATCAAATTCACCTTGTTAAGAATTATTCGGTCAGCATAAGCAACTTGTTCAACTACCTCATTTACCACAAATCTGGGTTTCAATTCATTCAAATGCTGCATGGCATGCTTCGAGTCAACTAATGTGACAACTCCATCAAGTTTCACATGTTGAGAAACCAGTTCGTCAGCACAAAATGTTTCTATGACAGGAGCTGGCTTAGCTAGGCCTGCAAGAGATGGTTTCCCAAATAAATGAGACATTCAAGGTCTCAATACCTCATTTGATAGCATTCAACTAGGTAATTCAAATCTTCCCCCATGAAGACATTTATTGTCAGTTATTACAAGTTGAAGAAAAAACAGTACAACTTATGTTTCCAAATGGGATACATCTAAGATTTGAGTATCGTAATTTAATGAAAACATGTAAACTCAGTATGAAGCTAACAAACACATGCCAAATAATCTCTAAAGTGAAGAACAGACAACTTATGCTAACCATAACATACCTGTGGTTTCTATGACGATATGATCAAACTTTTCTCGTTTCTTCTTAACCAGCTCCAAAAGCATTTTAACTAGGTCTCCCCGCACGGTACAGCATAGGCAGCCATTACTAACCATGACAACGTCTTCAGACACAGAAGAATGACTAGCAACCAATGATCCATCGATATCAACCTCACCAAACTGCAGTAGAAATTGCAGTGCATCAAATGACAAATAGAAAATAGCTTTTCTTAGCAGAGACATGATAAAGCAAAAAAAACAATCCCCTACAAGTCAAACTGTGCACAAACAGTCTTTTTCTCTACAGAAAGTAGAAACTACACATTCAGGATTCCAGAATTCCGATATGTTCTTCAATCTCTGAATTTCCTAATTTACAGAAATCTTAAAAAGATAATAGACATAGAGATTATGGTACCTCATTTTCGATGACAGCAATTCGCTTGCCGTGTTGAGCTGTTAATATATGATTCAGAAGAGTAGTCTGCGTTGCAAAAGTTAAGTTCTTACTCCCATTTCTCACGGGAGATTGATAAACAATGTAATAGATTCCATTTATGAAACAATTGAAAGAAAAGAAAGCGAGAGAGAAAAGAGCGGAAACCTTTCCCGAACCAAGAAAGCCGGTGATGATGGTGGCGGAGACGCGATTATCCAAGCTTAGCGCAGCTGCATCGAGATTGTTGGTTGGTTCAGAGGCAAAGCCCCTTGAATATCCGGACAGAGGTTTTGAGTAATTGTCGGGGAAAATGGAAGAGTGAAGGTTTGTGAGGAAGTGAGAAGAAGTGTGGTGGAAAGCAGGGAGAAGCTGGCGGAGATTTATCGGCGAAGTTCTTGAAATCAAGAATCTCGCTGCCATAGCTATTCGCTACGCTAAACCCTGGGAAGAATGCTAAACCTCGCCGCAGTGCTGCCTGCGGGATAAAATGGTCTAAACCATCTGGGTTTTACTTTTCTGCATTTTTATTAATTAAATTAAATCATTATATTTTCTCTGCATTTTTTAAATAAAATTTTTAGTAGATATAAAATCTTTTTTAGTAAATGTAATTAATAAAAAAAAAAAAGAAGGGAATTGAAATATTCCCAATGAAATCTTACAGCTGTATATATTTACCTCTTAAAAAAAAAAAAAAATCAGACGATGGAGATAGAAAATAGAAGATATTCTTATTTTCCAAATCCATACACACACATCTCAACTCATTGTTGCGATTTGTTGAAGAAGCATTGCGAATTGTTGAGCCTGATTTTCTTGCAGTTTCCATATCAAAATCAAATTTTGAATCAACAAAGTGAACCTGTTCCAAAATAGATTTTCTGATTGCCAGACCTTAAAACTACACAATAAGTTCTCAATACAAAAAAGGCAGATCGACCACTGGGGATCCAGAAATACCATGATTAACCTAATCTTCTAAGCTTTTAACAAGAATAAAACATCAAAACATGGGATTTCATTTCCCTTTCACTACTTTTATCAAGAAATGTAAGTCAACTACATCAAAAAGAAAAAAAAAATGTAAATCCAATTTGAAAATTCCTGTAAAACAGAGAGAAAGCAAAATGGGGAATCGAATACAAGTGTATCCGAACAAATGTTGTGTGGAATCAGCAAAGAGTCAACGGTTTCATCAATCATGAGGGATCTGGTTCTAGCTTTGGAACTATTGCAGATGAAAGCTCTATGTGAGAAACACGGACCGCACCAATTAGCCGTTCTGGTAGTTCATCTGTAGTATTGGCCTGCATTATGTTATAACGAAAGAATTCATCACAAATCCATCAAAGATTGTAAAACAGATACCATCACTGAAGTTCATAGCCTGATTTACATGCAATCATGTTGCGTTTCATAAAGAAGCTGGGGTGAACGACATTGCTTAAACATTGATACCTGTACAAGAAAAGCCATGTCAACCACCAGTGTTGTAATGACGCCAATGACAAGCCCCAAAACACCATTAGCAACAGTTGAGGACCCTATGTCAACATCAATCTGCAGAATTGGACAAGCAAAAATCCACATATTTTCACTCGCATCAGCTAGACCTAACTCATAGCATCACAAACTAGGGAAATTGTAAGGCTATTTACCTCTAAGTATTTAGGACTCCGGATATAGTTGCAGTCAACTGCTTTTCCCAATAAACAAGGGGTGCTTCCAACACTCTGGCGAACAATCCATGATCCCTGTAACACTCAGTTGACAGAATGTTAAAGAATGAATTTCAACAGACAATAAATAAAGTGGAAACAAAATTAAGAGAACTGCCCTTGCAAGACAGAGGGTTATCATTTCTTTACCAAAATCAACATCACGGAGAAAGTTCCAACTTACCCACCCACAATAACCTTCTGCAAATTTATGTACAATATGGTGGGCAAAGGCAATCCATAAAAGCTAGTTATTCAACTCTTGGACTATTTTACAAGCCTTAAAAAAAGAAGAAAATGGAGCACTTTGGTAAAATGAAATCACATGAAACCTGAACACTGTAATTTATTGCCAAATGCATGTCCACCATGTACATAATTACCCTGGGCAACATATGGCTCCAAAACCATGGGAGACCAGCTTGTCACTAACATTTTTCTAAGAGATTATTATAATTAACAGCGCTTATCATGATCAGGCTGGAGAAAGCCTCTTACTAACACAGCATAAACTGGTCTTCAACACATCAGCTGTGCACTCCCTTATTAACTCTTTTAAGGTGACTGTGATTTGTATGTGCAACATGCAATCTTGGACCCATAAACGCAGGACCAACCAAAACATAATGATAACAAAAGATAACCAGAAGCATTAAGAACCATCTAGATAGCATTTAAAAAACCAAAACAAACGAAAGGAGGTAATAAATCATGGATGAAGTATCTCAATGAATAGTCAATGCAGTGGAATTTCCAAACATGTGAAAACAACTGTTTTTTTCATTAGCTTTCAAATTCACTTACTGATTGATAGAGAAAAGGCAAAGCAATTATGATTCACATGTGTGATACATGATGTGACCTGGCAGTTGATTCCAACATACTTAATAAGAATTATCAAGCCATAATCATAAAATGATAAGTGAACATGAACATATACATACTTTTGGAACCGATGGAATAAGCTTCAGCCTACTATTGCGGAATTCATCATCACCATCAACAAAATGTTGCAAGAGAGATCCAGGTAGCAATTCCTTTGTCACAAAATAGAATACCATACTGTAGTGTGTTGAACCAGGAACCTGAATAAAACCCCAACCATAACGCCTACTCAACCTCCTAATGCAGATATGTATGTTTCAAAACTCGATAACAACTAAATAAGACAGTCATACTTGAAGATTTATAACCAAAGAGAAAAGGCCCTTTTCTGAAGCAACCTACAAAGACATGAACAAAAGAAATAATTAGAGACCAGGAAAAGATATGCAACATAAGAAAGAATATATAATCCATGCTGATAAGTTTAATACCTATATCCAAGCAACAATTAACGAAGAATCCTGGACAATTAAAAAGGAGCAGAACCATGTAAGGAAACAAAAACTCACTTGTGCAGCACAACCTTGACGCCTTGCAACATGGTCCATTCTTTTTGTATCTTTAAACCAATCAACAGCAAGAAGATCCATTAAGTGCTTTCCGGCAGGAACCTTCATTGCATATGACAAACAAGAAACCAAGCTAAGTAACAGATATTCATTTAGAAGATGTAAAAAATAAATAAATAAACAAATGGATGAAACAAGAACACAAACCTTTGACTTGTCATAACAAAAATTCTTGCTACGAACTCGGAAGTTGTTACCATCAGATATTTTCCAGCAATCACGACCATTATCACGGTCATCACGTCGTAGATTACCCGAAAAGCATGATAAATCAATTTGCTCAACTGGCTCTTCTTCCAAGGCTTTTAATTTGTCAAAAAAGAAATATTGTAAATCTAAGGTTAGATTTAAGATATATGAGTTAAATTCTTATCCAAACAACATTTAATAGTTATGATCCACCTGTTTTCTTAATGTCATTCTCACTTGACGATGCCTGAAAAATGCAGGGGAAGAAAAATTCATGGTTAGGAAGAAGTACAGCAAAAAAGGAACAAGAGAAGAAAAGAAAGCAGAAGAGTAACATAAACCTCTTCTATCTCTGCTATTTGATATTCTTCATCCTCATCAGAGTCTTCATCCAAAATCATAGAGCTCCTGCTTACAGGATTCATTTGATCGAGAGAACGGGCAGTATTAACAGATGACCCGCCTATCTTCTGAGTCCCCTTTGAAGAACCAGAAGCTGAGACCATGTTAACCATAACTGGGATTCTTGGAGGAGCACCCCTTTCATCTGTTTGGGAAAACCATTCACGCAGTCCTATCAAAAGTATAAATAACAAATTTTCAGTGAAGAGTGCATTAAGACTGCAAAAAAGGTGGGGATATGAAGATGCATATTAAAATCAGAAGATTTCAACAAAAAGAAAATTCTTTCTCCAACCTAGAAAACTGCAAATTTTAACACGTACAATATCGTGAAGAGAACTCACCTGCAACACTGTTTAACATCTGAAGAAGGCAATGTTGCTGAAATGATGAAATGTAACCCACAGCCCATCCTTTCAAATCAACCTGCATTAGGTGCTGCACCTGCGTTCTAGGCATTCCGTTTCGAGGTTTTAGAGGTGAAATGTTGAATCCTCCACCTGAGAGAATTAGATTACAGATGGACCCAAAAGAAATGAATACCCATAGTCAAATTGTTAGCATTTACAAAGAAACTAATATAGGACTTACTCTCAAGATGAGCCCGCACATATCCTGGCTCTGGACCACAGTTCTGATGCTCCCTAGAACGGAATAACACAACTGCACAATTAGAAAAAACAAAATAAGAGAATTTCTTAAGAAGAAAAGTTAAGCATAGATTTCAAATAAGAAATTGATCTGCAAAATTTACCATAACTTCCATCATCATTTCGACGCCAGTAACGCACATAACAAAGGTCGCGAGGCCACACGAGCCTGCAACCATGATGATGATTCAAGGGTCAGTAAACATTTAGAAAATACTATTATCTTCATTCCTCTCCCCCAAACTTTTCCTCTTTTTATTTGCTAATCCTTCTGCAATTTCCTTAATTTATCAATATATTAAAGTTTCCTCCTTATTTAAAAAAATCTCCAGCCCAAGAAAGAAATGCTCTGATGTGCATGCTTCCTTCTGATACAAAACATTATGCTAAATTCTCAAACTTCAATTTTCAACAATCAAAGTGTTCTTCCTATCAAATAGAAGAGTGAAAACACAATTAAAAATGCAATATGGATGCACAAGAAAGGGGAATGGCATTTAAAGCTCCACTTCAAGATTGCTTAAGAATTTTGACGCCCAAATAAAAATGAATAAAACAATTTAACTTTGTTAGAATATTACATGGGGAACCAGTCCAATTGAAGTCTATGATAGAGTATTGCTGTGTGCCCATCTACCTCTTCAACTAAGCTACCATGCTGGAAACTGCAATCCCACCTGCAAATGTAAAATATACATTTGTATGTGTTTAATATACACCTAACATAAAGACAGCTAAGAATGCAAAGTTGAAAACAGCCTAGCAAAATACATGCACACATTTATGATTGTATGTTTGGCTGCTGATATATGCACAAAGGTGTAGCCTAAACTGTAATAGATGAGCTTATCAGACCAACATGTAAAATATTTTATTAAAAAAATTGAAAACTTACTCAAATCGTGTTCCATCCATGCTCATTACAAGCCCAAATATTTCTTCACAAGTAGCCTCTACAACACCTACAGCCTTCATTGCCCTACTACAGCTTCTTGGCTGCATCAAGAAAAATATAGATGACATTTATGACCTAAAACATTTTAACACGGAGCAAAATCATGTCCCGGGAACAAGAACACTCTTACATACAAGGTAATCAACTTCAAGAAGCTCTTCAAAAATGCGAAGTCCTGTAATATGGGAAAAGAAATCGCTTGGAATTCTGAGTGATTCACAAATGCCATTGCAGCAAGCAGCAATAAGCTCACCTTTCCATTGGTCAATAATCTTTCTTTCAAGCAATCCCTGTGCTAAACATTGAAAATTAAACAAATTAAAAATAAGAGCTAGAGATGCTAACCATTTTGGCACTGTAGAAGACGCCAATGCTTTCTTGAAAATGCTTGGTTGTTGGTACTTTGGTTTGACAACTCTGAGTCAACTTCTTTTGTCCAGTCCAACATTGAATCAGGAGGACCTAAAATTCATGAGGAGAATGACATTGAGAACATTTCACATAAATAGTGTGAAGTAGTTGAGATATGGAAATCAGCAAGAACCATTTCCAATTGTTATTCTGCGTGACAAATTCAGTTGGGCATCATCTTCATCCTCCTGAGCACTGAACCTTAAGAAGAAATACCTAACTTTAGAAATATGCAATAGAAGCATATCTGTGTCACAATTCTAAGTTTGGTATTTCAAAGGTACAAAAGAAAGTACAGCCTAAACACAGAAATGACTTTAATATATATAGACTTATAAAAGTCACAACAACCTATGAAACCACTTGCAACTAAAATACTTAAAAACAAGAAACTCATGCCAACTTTTAACCATCATAGCCACAAACAAAGTTAAAATATCTGAAGAGAACACTATTTGTGAACAATGAACTCAGCACATGAAGAAAAAATAACTATATGTAAAGAGGTGCAACACAATGCAATAGAAGAACAAATGCACTGGAACATCATCTATGTCGTTTGATCTTATAGACTAAGAGTCTTTCTCAGACCCAAAAATTTAGAACAGAAAAGAAGAGAAACTGCAATGAAACCAAAGAAAAGAGACCCTTTTTTGGCTGAAGAGGAATTGGAGTTAAATAAACTTTAATTTGCTTCAGAAGTCACCAACCTTGACTACAAAGTAGAGCCAGATATTGGAACATTTTATTCTAACAAAATCTACACCCGCATGAAGGGAAATACTTAAAATATCCCATTGAACATGCAGGAAAAGTCATCTATCAGGCAAACTCTAGAACCAGTTGAAATTGAACCATAATAGGCAAGCTAACCCAGATAACTGGAGCTAGTATAGCAACTATTAAAAGTTATAATAGTGTAAACAGTAAATATTGTGATTCACTGACGCATTTTGAAGTGTAAAGTCACAAACATACACCACCACACATGGGGCAAAGTGACAATTAGGACTTACTGACTTTCATGGTCTGATGAAGACCCATTCCTCCCATTATCCATTCCAGCTTTATATTCAAAAGAAACATATTTGTGACCGTTTGCAATTTGTGACTCTTGAAGCTGTGCATGCTAATAAATAATTAGTGCAACATAATCCACAGACTATATGAATATGCAAGTGTAAACAAAAGAAATTCCCATGGAGCACAAGTATAGCCTAGATCTGGTGCTACAGAAATTAAAGTTGAGCAGAAAAGATAATTCAAAACAGGTTAATGATGTGGATATTCAAGTAAAGATCGAGAAAGACAAACCAGATCAATTACTGATTCAATTTTTTCCTTCCAGATAAGTACCTCCTGGATGTTGAATGCTGCCATCTTGTAAGAAAAAAGCAAGCATGTATTATCACAAAATTTAGGACAGGTTTTAGCAACTGGTTAAGAATGCAACTAAAGAGGTCCATAGTGAAGAAGATAAACATCTCAATTGTGCCCAATCAATCTGGTTTGTAGATGCCAGATAAACATAGCCAACATCATCATTGAAGCATAATAAAGCAAGCTGAAGCTGGCAGAGCAGGCAGAGCAGAACTAAGTGTGAGACCAATCAGTGCTTAAGAAACAGATTTTCCAATATTGAACTAGCAGAGCTACCATTTAAACAACTCAAGCCTACCAAATAAATAACCATTTATGACACATAGCAAGAGGATCCACTGTTAACCTTCCTCTTCCTTACCCCAGGTTGCTCCCAAAGAAGAAGGCAATGTTTTAGTCAATGAATCCAAAAACTTGCTTTAATTTCACTAACCAATGAATGTGCTTAGACAAATGATGCACCAAAGATGAATATTCATTTATTGTTTGCACAATATAAAAAAAGAAAAGACCACAAACCGTGAGTCTATGATGCTTCTCTTTCTTGTTGTATACACACAAAACGTAAAGCATCTGCAAAAGCAGCAAAACATAAACCAAAAGCTAGCCAAAATGATAGTTCTCAATATGTAAACTCCACCACCAGAAGGAATACATTTTACACTGTTAAAACTGTTATCTATAAAACTGTTATCTATGACAATAATAATCCTGGAAGACTAGAACCATGCAAGAAAACTCATACAGATAATCAAGAAGCAAATAAACAAGCACATGCACAAAATTGTCAACAAAAGTGAACTACTTTGCCAACAAAGAATGTGATGAAGTTCCCAAATATTACTGTTGGATAGAAAGCATGTGGCAATCATGTAGTAAGAATGCACAATTGGTTGGCATAACCAAGAATCAGACAAACTACTCAAGCAACAAAATTATTAAAACTACAAAAGTTGCATAAAGAATGGAAATGATTTCGTTGATTCAAGATGGAATGTCTAATCTCATGCAAGCACACTCAAAGCTCGTGCCACTGTAGATATTAGTAGTAAAAAAATTACAAAGCATATGTCATCAAAACTACACCTTATTATTACAACACCATTACAGGCTAAAAATGGGAGCACAGACTTAAGCAAATTAGCCAAAGGCAACTTACATGTCCCTGGTGACTCTTCAAGCCACGATCCTCCACCCGACAGATTCCATCTATTAAGAAGGTCTTGATTGGAACCTAATTAGCATACATAAAAACTTTAAGGTCAAAAGTTGGTTAATTACAGAAAACCTGAAACTAAATCATGAACTATACATTAAAAAGCAAACAAAGTATAAAAATTCTTTGAGAGATTCATTTTCCTCATCTCCCTGCTCACTAACCATATAATTCTAATATGCCAATCACAAAAGATGCTTTGCTTTAGCAAAAATAGCATCAAATTAAGGTCACCAATCCTTAAAAGATGGAATTTAACTGTATTTTTCTTTATCGGCAGGAATTTTCACTGTAATTAACATTTTTGTAAAGCAACTTTCCTCCTTCCTCCATACTTACAGTACAGAAAAAAAAAAAAAAAAAAAAAAAAAAAGACAAAAAATCACACTAAGAAAACAAGAAATTCAGCTTAAGAATAAAAAAATGCATTAACAGAATTCAGAACTCTAAGCAAAAACTGATTAAAATCAAACAAATATTGCGAGATAAGATATTTACCTGATTATCTTGAGGCTTTTTCTTGTAATAAGCGAGAAGGCGAGTCCCGAGCACGAAATACCGCATATGAATGTATGATCTTCCAATCTTCCTCCGGCCATACCTCACCATCCACCCTTCGTACACGACCTTCGACATCTCCGCCTCCTCACGGTCGACCAAATTCCCAAAAAAAGAAACAACGGAGAATTCAAGTTTCAAAAAGCAACTCGAAAAACCGGAAGCTTAGATCGCAATCTTTGCTTCCGCGAGATCAGTGCCACCTAAGTCACTTGATCGCTCATCATTTCACTGTTTCCTTTTCATCAAATTCGAGAAATCTTTAAATCAAAGATTTGAATCGCCATTTCTAGAACTGGTGTCTAGATTCTGACATTCCACATTGCAACAAACCCGAGAATCAAATAACGAAATTTGACTTTGCACACTCTAACAAAAATCAAAAGCAGCAAAGCGTATGGAGAAAGAAGAGCACAAGCTCGATCGAATGAAACTGTGTAAAAAAAAAAAAAAATTGCTCCTATCTCTTTTTGTTTTGGGAGAAAGGAGATTTATGGAGATGCGGCGGAGGGGCGGTGGTTGGTCGGTTGTGATATGCCGGGATCGGCGAAGAAGGTGGGAAAAACGACGCCGTAAACGGAAAGGATAGCACGACGGAGGGATGGAGGGGAAAGTGTGACGGAAGAATTTAGAGATCCCACGTAAGTTTAAAAAGGGGCGAGAAGTGCGCACGAGAGTGGGGACACATCGGGGATTTTGATTTGATCGGAGGGTGACAAAGAGACTGAGTTCCGATTTTGTGGGAGGGAAAAATGATGCATTGGCTCCAAATAAAAAATGGAACTCAACTGTTACACATTTGACTGCACATTAAAATTGTAAAAGTGAAGGTGAAAGTGAAATTATTAAATAACTAGATTAATGAAATAATATATTAATAAGGATTTTTTTAATCTTCTAGTATAAATTAAAAGTATATTAAATATATTTTTTATCATAAATACATATAAAAATATAAAAATTAATATTAATTATAATATCAAATAAATTTAATTAGATAATTAATAAATTAAAGTTTGACTTTTATTGTTTTAATATAAATTTATAACGAAAATATAAGGTTTGACAAGCCCTATTAATAAATAAGTAACTTTATTAAGTGTACCTAAAGTATCTTAATAAAGGTAAAATTATTAAATTATTGATAATAAAATAATATAAAAATAAATTCATTGAAATTAATTACTTTATTAAAAAATATTTTAATAAATTTATAAAAGTGCAATTATTAAATTATTAATAATAAAATAATATAA